TGTCCCCTCCCACCCATTCCCCCCTAACAGACTTACCTGCAAACTACCAGACTGCATGTCAGCAATCAGACTGCTATTGGCTGATAGTCTCATTAATAATCGGCCATTGGTATCAGCCCAAAAAATCTTTATCAGTGCACCCCTATTTAAAACTGTATTATATTTCTACCAGCAAGTTACCAAACCTTTATAGAGCATAATACAGAAGTATCTGACAATTCAGCTTCTCATGAAATGGAGAAAAACTCTCACTGATTTCAGTGGAAATTGATGTTGCCCTTTTTACAGAGAGGGCTTGTAAGAGACTCATTGGATTGTAAGACTAGCAAAAGAAATTCTTACTTTTGAACCAAGTGGTTTGCCAAAATTGAGACCTTGCATGTTGTTTCCTATAGGAGTCAGATATTTCTTTATCTTCCATCCAGGAAGAGCACACACCAACTGCTGAAACTTCCTTAGCCTGACGAAGGGTTTTTGAACCCGAAAGCTTGCTTAATAACTATTCTCCAACCATTTGGGTTGGTCTAATAAAAGATATCAAATTCACCCAAGGAACCTTGTCTGCCTATGTCCTTAGACCAACACGGCTACAATCCCAAACCCCAGATTGGGGCAGATATTTCTTTAATTTCTTTAACTTGTTCTTAAACAAAGTTCATAAAGGCCTGCTTCCCTGAACACAGCAGAAATCCAACAACAGGAGGCAATTTCCTTGTTCACTATTCAAAGCCTCTTTCCAGCCAGTAGTCTATGCAAAAGAAGTTTCAGCAAGCAATATTAAGTCCCTGCATTTGTATTCAGCTGCTAGGACAAATTTCAGATTATATGGCCCAACTCCTACTGTGGCTTTGTTTGCCACTCAAGCTTTTGTTGGGGGTTTTTTGTTTTTTTTTTTTTATTAGACTTGCCAGATCCAATAAGGTTTCATCCAACCCCGAGCATAACATTTTTAAGATTACAATCTTTCCTGGCTTCTGTGTTTCATCTAAATATGTCCATGTAATGTAATTTTTAAGGAAACAAATTTTTTTCAAAAATGCAATTAAACATATGTGTGGAATGGGAATAGGCAAATGTTGGAGGGAGTGGTCAGTTGGGAGTGTTTTATCAAATATGGCGAGCATGTCCTAGAATCAAACTGTTCCAGAAAAAAGTTGCAGACACAGTAAGGGAAATAGCAGGATGCCATCTGTCAGATAACCCTGTAGTGTTCTTACTGAATCTTCCTGAGAATTCTGCAGTACATAAGAATTATCGCTTATCTTCTAATGGCTTCAAAAATTATACTTGCAAAACCGTGGAAGAGAAGCGATACTCCTATTTTGAAACACTGACTGATTTTAAAAAGTTTGGGAAGTTTTAGCAATGGAAAAATTGTCCTATCTAGTATCCTCCAGGGGAGAAGGAAAAAGATGTCGTTTTAAAAATTTGGTGGAATTTGCTGAAAAAAAATCTCTTGGCCTGCCTTCAAATGAGCAAGCTTGAGAAATCTCTTTGAATACTGAAGAAGAATGCAAACTCTGTGAGAAGGAACTATCAGAGGTTGAAAGGAAGAGAAGAAAAGAACACAAAAGTCTCTTCTCTGTGGAAACTGATTTGGGTTAAGGAGTAGTGATGATGAAAGATAAATATTTGCCTTTATATTTTAGGGGACCGGATGCATCTTTAAATGTTAAATTTGTTACCTGAGAAGTTAAATTTGCTAATAAAGTTTTTTTTAAAGTTTCAAAATCCAAATATATGTACTTCCATTGGACACATTATTGTTAATAATGATTTGAATATAATAAAAACATGTTCACACTACTTCCTAGTATTTTTAAGGGGAAAAAATCAATTTTGTTCACCTTAACACTATATCATCAGTGAACCCAACCAGAATTTTTAGTACTGTAGGACAGATAGTTCTCTCTTAAGCTAAAAACACTACCTCCACCAGCACAGTCCTTCCGAGACAGCCTATGGCAGTGGTCACCAACCAGTCAATCTCAATCTATCAAAGGCTCCACAATTGGGAGCGGCAGGGCACACATGGATGGGCTGAGCCACACCCCATGTCCCCCAGGCCCGGCTGGGTGAGTGGGGTCAGAGCCTGAGCAGCTTGTCCAGGAGGCAGGTGGGGCAGGGTGAGGGCGGGGCAGGGCAGGGACCATAGGTCCCGGAGTGCCCTTTACTTACAAAAAGTAATCTTCACCATAAAAAGGTTAGAGACCACTGGCCTATGGCTAGGTAAATAAAGCTTAAATCTTCCATTTTAGATTCAGCATTAAAGATTTGCTCATATGAGTTGTTAAAAATGGAGGAAAAAAATATTAATACCAGTTAAGAGATTATATGGGTTTTGAACTTATGGTTGCCTGGCCAAAAAAGGACTTTGATAAGTGTGGGGACAGATGATGAGGACTTATTGCACAACTGAAACATCAGAAGGTACAGAGCAAAGTAAGCAGAGAATCATATTCAGCATGGTCGGTACTCCACATGATTTGAACAGCAAGGGTTAAACTCTGCTTCGCCTTCACATGCCAAAGTTGCACTTGCATAGTTATAGAACGGCAATTGTTGGAATTTACAGTATGAATTCCATATAGCTACACTTGGCCCGTGCTTCCCTACTGAGCATTGTTAGGAGGCTGCATTCAGGCTGCACTGGTACCCAAGGGAAACTGAATTGGCTGAGCATACTATTAATACCATTTAAGTTCCAAATGGGAGTCACAGAAAAACAACTAGTAGATCCTTGATGCCAAAAAACATTTCTACCCTAAGTCTAGCAATCAAGTTACTTACTAGTTCTCTCTGGACTAGTTTTACTCAGCTACATACTGAGTGATCTTGTTCACCACAAATGAAAACAGAACAAACTCTGTGCTAAGTAGCAAAAAACTGCATTGCAAGCATGTAAAACTGAAATGGGATTTAACCCAAGTTTCATAAAGCCAAACAAAGATATATTCCTGACTCTAGGGCTATTCAGCCAAATTTGGAAGTGCTGCAGGCAACAGTCAAGTCACTATTAATATTATGCTTTTGTACTACAGCACTGGATAAACTAGAGACCCTGTAGATCAACATCTGTTAAATCTTGCTAAGGCTTCATTAAAACATTGGCTCAACAAAACCTCAACTTCTAGCAAGCTTTTCACCACCTTTACCTTACCCCCCACCCCGGTCTTAAGTTTAACAAGGTCTCAGCTTCTAATTAGGTGCCCCCCACATTCTCTCTCCCTTCCTGGAAGGTGACCAGCCTGTTGGGATACCAAAAATATGTTAATTAGGGAGTTTCAAGGCCTTGTCAGACCACACCTAGAAGATGATCAAGTAACACATCTTCCAAGAACATACGGAGATATTTGAAGGGAGGCTGACCAATAAGGGATGGCTGACTGGTACACATAGCAAAGTCATGAAATAGAGCAGTGGTTCTCAACCTTTTTCCTACCAGGACCCATTTGAAAAGGTTCATGGCCTGTCCCAACCCACACCCCACTGGTCCTGCTGGTGCATGACCCACAGTCCCCAGTCCCGTCCCGTCCCCCAGGACATGGTGGTGTCCCTCACTCCCAACCTACAGCCCCTGCACCCTCAGCCCTGTCAGTGCCCCTCCCTCTCAACCCGCAGCCCCTGCTCCCCCCATCTCCCCATCCAAGCCCAGCCAGTGCCTCATTCCCAACCCACAGCCCCTTGCCACCAGCCCTGCCAGAGGGGCCCCCAGCTGCCCCAGTCCCACTTGGACCAGAGCACGGTGGCTGCAACAGCTCCAGCTCATGCAGGTGGCAGCGGAGCAAGCTGGAAGGAGGGAGGCATGTGGCAGTCCTTAGGCTGGGCTGGGGCTGCAGCACCAAGCAGGCAGTCTGGTCACAGCCCATTCCACCCCCTGAGCAGCATCTCCCAGCCACCCACCCCTGCATCTCTCCCCCATCCCCTTCTCACTCAGCCCTGCCACAGTCCCAGCACTTTCCCAGGATCAGTTTCCCAACCTACGGCTCACGACCCTCTGGAATCTTCTTGCAACCCATGGATTAAGAAACACCTGCATAAATATCTGTGTGGTAACAGTTGATTAGTTTTATCGTGGAATCATCAGAATCTGCATAGCTTCTATAGTTATTCAATGTATAACACATCAAAGATGAAGCTTACATCACCCTTTGGACAGGTAAACCCTTGCACACTTCCACTCTGCCAGCCACTCTGATCAGCCAGCTGATCATGATTAAAGCCTCTCATTATACTCACTGACGAGACATTTACTGTGGAGTTGACTAATTAGCTCTGCAGTAAACATCTCATGTTTACACATGCTGTGCTATTAGACAGGAATAAACTAATTAACTCCACAGCAGAATAGTACTGGAGTTAATACAGGTACAATCTAACACAAGTACCAATACAATACTAGTAAATATAAGTACTATCCTGCTGCAGGGTTTTGTATTCTGCAGCAGCACATGGGTAGATGCTGACCAGGCTGGCTATGGCACGAGGATGCTTCAGTGCAGGGGGCTAGCTGGCTCGCCCCTGTAATGAAGCACCCTCATGCCCCAGCCAGCCCCTCCATGGCACATGGAGCCAAACTGGAGCAGTGGGCTGCCAGGCTGACACCCCGCCCCAGGGTCCCTGAGCAGCCAGAGCTGCTCTGACCCAGGTCACCCTGCTGCATTGCCCCACACACATGTACATGTGGTGCCTGGGAAGCAATACATGCCAACACAATAAGCTCCAGCCCCGGTCTGCGGGAGTGGGGAACACCAGCTATTCCCTGCCCAGCCAGGCCCCACAGGGCCGAGCATGGGTGCACTTTGCCCTGCTGCCCCAGCCCCATGGTGCAGGTCTGCAGCAGCAAGACAAGGAAGATCTTCCCCTGCCCAGCCAGACCCGCGGGGCAGGGGCCCAGGAAAGGCTAGCTACCGGACCAGAAGTGACCGCGGCCTGGCAAACCGAAATCTGTCCCGCGCACCGCCCGTTGGCTCACAGCAGCCCCTCCCCCGCCGCGACCTCTGCCCCGGAAGCGGACGCGGACGCTGGGGCGCGCACGAGGCCGCAGGACGGGGTAATCGGTGCTGCGGGAGCTGACGCTGCTCTGCCCTGGCCGGGGCCGCGCGGGACGAGCCATGGAGTACATGCCGCCGTCCGCGGCGCCCACCCAGGGGCACATGTGAGTGCGGGGCCTGTTGGGGGGGAGGGGCGGGTGTTGCGCACTTAACGCGTGTCACCGGGGCCGCTACTGTGCCTGCGCTGGCGCCCGAGGCAGCCCCTCCCCCCGGGGACTGGAAGCGGGCAGTGGTGCGCGCGCAGGCGCAGTGGCGGCGTCCGTGTTGCCCGGGTACGAGAGCGGGTAGTGAAAGCACTCAGTATAGGATATTTTTTGATACGTCAGGTTGTAGCCGTATTGGTCTGGAGGCCAAAGCAACCAGGGCTCGTGGGAGAGGTGATCTCGTTTATTAGACCAGCTACATTTGTGCAAAAAAACCTTTTTTTGCAAAAATCTAGTTCATGTAAGAAAAGATACCACCTCTCCCACGACTCCTGGATATTGTTTGAGGTAGCTAATTGATGCAACATATGCAAAAGCCAAATCGCTCTCGGGAAGTCTTAACCAACTTTGGGGGTTGCTGTCAGCACTTTGCTTGTCTGGGAATAAAGAAATGCTTCAATTTTGATGACCCAGTTCTCACTCACTGGTGATTTGCTGCGAGCAATATAAAGTAAATAACAAAGCGCATTCACATGTTTTTCAGTGTACAGTAGTTTTTCAACAAATAAAGTAATTTTGTGCTTCCACGGTGATGAGTTCATATTTAGGATCTGGCATCACTGAGCAGTGGCAGCATCCAACTCCGCAACGCGTTAGGCGCAAGCGTCCTTTGCTGACAGCGGCTCCTGCTTCTTTCCTTCCTCAGCCTGTGCTGCGAGTGCGGCGTGCCCGTGCCACCCAACCCTGCCAGCATGTGCGTGGCCTGCCTGCGCGCCCGTGTGGACATCACCGACGGCATCCCCAAGCAGGCCAGCATTCACTTCTGCAAGCAGTGCAGCAGGTGCGGAGCGCGCTTCCAACACGACTCTGCCTCGGTGCTCGGTCTCATCTGCGCCAGGGTCGCGTGAGTGGCACAGGGCTGGTCCACAGGTTGGATCAGGCCCCATGCTGCTTCCATGCACCCAAATCAGGTCCCGCTAGCCCAGTGTAGGACACAGGTCAGCACTGTCCAGCCCTCAGGGCTTCCCAGGAGGCCAGAAACTTGGCAGCAGGGGATTAGCAATTGACCCTGCCATTGCTTATCCACTGCCAAATTTTGCTGCCTGTGGGGAACCCTACAGGCCAAATGACATGGCTCTACCCAGATCTGGCCCCCAGGCTGGGGGTTGAGCACCCCTGGTCTATGCTTTTGTTCATATTTTTTAGTCCTTTCGTTTGCCAGCATAAACAGCCCCAGCAGCACAGTATGTGTTGCTAGGAAACATTCAGATCATAACATAATTGTTAATCGTTTAAGCTCAGTTTATATTTATAAAATCCTGGGAGTTTGGGGAGTCTTAACTGAGAGCAGCACAAAGGGCTTTTGGTTGCGGGCCCACATTAAAGTATTCTTGAAGAGAAAAACTTGGTAGTTCAGGGGGTTGTTGATGGGAAAAGCCATGTGAATGTGAACATTGTGTTACAGGGATAACATTATCGGTTGGGCCCTTGACAGATGTCTGCTTTAAGATGTGATGGGATCTGATCTGGGATCCCAGCAATCACACCACATGTGCATGGCAGGATGCAAGATTTTGGGAGCAAAGATTATATGCCAGTCACATCTTACTTGCTAGCGCAGGGGAAGCCTGGGACCATGAGCCCAGGCTCCCCCTGCATCAGTAAGATGAAACAAGGTGCTGACAATCAATTGATTGTCAATTTTGTATGGGAACCAAATCAGTCCCTGTCCCCAGACAATAACTGATTCTCCAAATCCCTGTGGGGGCACACTAAGCTTTTACTCATTCCTGTGCACAGGGAGCATGAGATCTGGCTATAGCAGCCCAATCCCAGGTCCCTTTACTCTGGGAGCTATAAAACCACATGTGCTGGCCAGCCAGGCAACACAAAGTGCTTTGACAGGTCCTAGAACCCAGCTGGTCATGTTCAGTTTTAAGGTGTGATACAAACAAGCCACAAAGTTATTCCACATTGCTTACTCTATTGTCATGCCTAACATTGATTTGTACATGCAGCTGGGTTACTATTTAAGGCACGATTAACCTGTTAACCGTGTCTTAAATGTAACGTCAGGTGTCTTGATGTCCAAAATAACAGTGATTTCTGAAACATTTGTTGAAGCCATTTCATAGTCTAAATATGTCTTCCTTACATCAGGTATCTTCAGCCTCCAGGAACTTGGATCCAATGTGCCTTAGAATCAAGAGAACTTCTTACTTTGTGTCTTAAAAAAATCAAAGCCTCCCTTAGCAAGGTTAGTCACTAAATTCTGTTAGTAGTGTATTAAATGAAGTCTGATAAACTTGTTATGGCATTTGGACCCTTTTGAATAATGAGCACACTTAACCCTCCCCTAGCACTAATTCATTTAAATTATGGAAGGTGAAATCCCAACCTCTGCAGCCAGTGAGAAAACTCTCATTGACTTCAGTGGCATCAGGCTTTCACTCAGTTTGCAGATTAGCAGGATCTGATTCATGCAGTTTTAGACACTGCTCTTATGATGGGCTTACTAAGAAATGAGTGAAGTAAACTGACATTCACAATTCTTTAATAGAAAGTAATTTGGCAGATAATTATAACAATGTATGACCTATTTGTTTGTTAGTATTCTTACTTCATTAAAGAAATTCTGCAGTTTTTCTTCTTAAATTCTGCAGTGCTATTGTGTGCCAAATCTTTAGCAGCAGCTCCAGAGCTGTGCAGCAGCCCTGTGGCAGTCAGGACAGGACCACACTTTACACAATGCCCACTCTGGATCTGGAATGCAGAGCCGGTGTGTGGGTCCAGTCCGGTCCAACCTGCCCACTGACACTGCCATTCATCCAGTCCACAGAGCCAAATGAGTTTGACGCCCCTATTTTAAGGGCCTAGCAGAGGCCGTATGACTGGTCTGACAAATGAGAGGCTATTACATTTTATCCACATATTGAATCCAATGTGTTTCCAGTTATATTCATGCATTTTAGTCCTCAAGAAATTATAGTTTGGGCCACAGGCAAACAACAGAAAAGACTAAAGTGACACCAATGCCTGAGGACTCTGCAATGACAGGGACCTAAATTGGTAAAAAATACTCACGTGCTTGTAGTAGAAAGTCTAAGGCCTGTCTGTGTTCATGAGTAAAAACATCCCAAATTCCTTGAGATTCTGATCTGGAGAGAGAAATCCTTCCTGACTCCAGTTCTATCAGTTGGATAATAAGCAACATGCAAGCAGGACATGCCAGCATGTCATCAACATAAAGATTTCTCTGTACTTCCTGAGAGCATTAGCCCCCTCCCCTTTGATATCTGACATCCAGCTGTTGTTTAGATTTATATCCTGCCATATCCAGAAAGGGTCAGGGCGGTTTACAATAGATGACTAACAACAAATAACTTACCTGAGGAAGTTACTGTAGTAGCCAACAGTTCTCCTAAGTCTGCCCAGTGATGCAGTTGGTCTAATAAAAGATATCACCCACAAAAATCCTTGACTCTCACATAACAACTTGCAGCCAATTATGCCTTAGGAAAGAAAAATTCCTTCCTGACTTCTGCAAGCAACACTGAAGCATGCGATTTTACTGTGACTTTACTGTGAGTGTTTTGATCAGACTGAGAACATTTCTTCCAAGTTGGAGGAAAGAATGGGATCAGACAGGACAATTTAGAATCCAAGGCCACAAGAAAACAATCTGCCTTCTCCGCGCACCCTTCCATTAGATGTTGTCTTAAAGTATATCTTTTAAAAGATATCTAATTTACATTTAAAGACAGCTGTGGCGAGTCTGCCACCTGCTCAGCAAGCTGTTCCAGCATGCGATTAAACTCACTCTGAGGGGGATGCTTCTTATTTTGGCAACATAATTTTTCCAATTGTAGTTTCCCGTTGTTGGACTTCGTTAGTAAAATTGAAAAGTCCCCTCCACTCTTACATTACCTTTTCCATGTACCTCCACACAGCAATCAAATTGTCATTAAACTTTCTCTTCAGTAAGCTAAGCAAAGAGAACTCTTTGACAATCATGTTGTAAAGCTTGTTGTCTATCCATCACATGATGTTTGTGTCGATTCTTTCTTTTATTTTCATGTTCTTCCAGAAGTGTAGATCTTAGAATAAGACACAGTGCTCTAGTATCAGTGATACCAATGCTCGGTATAGCAGCAAGATCATTTTTCCACTTCTATTTGATATTCATTAGTTTTCCTGTAGTGCATAGTAACTTCATGTTTTTGCTAAACCTTTTTATACTGTTTTTTATTTAACTGGCATCTTGTCTCAGTGAAAACAAAAAAGGTTTTCTTTGTGTCTGTATTTCTATTCAAGTTGTTTTAGAATACTTTTCCAGGCTTAAAATGGACAGCTGTAGCTCAAATTATTTTATTAGGTTTGTCATGACATAAAAAATTTTCTTAGAAATCTTCCAGTGCTCAATTGTGAATGGCATACTTCATAACTGATAACTCTTATTGGTGGTGCCTCAAGTTTTATTCTTAAGGGTTAAGTATGTATGCATTAAACATTATTTTAATCTTTCAACAGGCTATCCACTCTAGGACTGATGAATAAGCTTCTGTGTTTGTTCCCACTGACAGGTCCGGCTGATTGATGCAGGCTTTGTTTGGACTGAACCCCACTCTAAGAGACTTAAAGTAAAGCTAACTGTGCAAAAAGAGGTAACTGAGTTACAAAAATCTGCATATACCTTTTTAAAGAATATTTTGGACAAATTATTGTATACAAAAGCAGTTTTCTAGTTAGTGGAGGCCAGGTTTGTTGTGAAGTTATTCCTTATCTGTGAGGAATACAGATTTCACTGTGCAAAATCTGACAAATAGAGTAGTGTTGATATTAGCCCTGAAAAAAGTATGCTGCTCTTTAGCCCCAAGGAGGCAAAGTGACTGCGCACATGCAGAAGAAAACGGAAGATTTAGCTTATGAAGCTACAGACTTGTCTCTCCAACACTTTAATAAGACAATGTAGGGGAAACTCATTTTTCAAATATGCTATTTATGAAGAACTCAGTTTTCTAAATATCAGCTTATAGTCTAAAATTTGTTTGCTTTTGTGAGGAAAGAACTATTGTCATACAAAGCATAACATGTCTGTTTATTGTGTAATCTTTCTATACCAATTATTTGCCTACAGAAGTAATTTCTGAAAGAATATTTGCAGCCCTGAAGGTAAACTATAAAATGGCATCATCCTAACACAAATGGAGCTGAAAGGGGATAACTGAATCACTTAAATTTTAAAATTTGTTTCTGCAGGTTATGAATGGAGCAATTCTTCAGCAGGTGTTTGTGGTGGAATATGTTGTTCATTCTCAAATGTGTGATGACTGCCATAGAGTTGAAGCTAAGGACTTCTGGAAAGCAGTAGTTCAAGTCAGACAGAAGGTAAAAATAAAAGTACAGTTCATCATTGATCATCTGCTTTGGTATGCTGGAACTTCATAAAGTATACCAGTGTTCAATTTCTCCACAATGTATCTGATCAATTCAGTATGGTTGCACTTTACAACCATAGCTCCCTCAGTCCTTCTAGTAATCCAATATGTTTGCTGAAGCACACAAGTGAAGAAGATACACAGGGGACACATCTACACATGGTGATTTTTAAGGCGCATTAGCCATTTCTAAGGCACGTTAAGGGTACAGGTCTACACATGTGTGCCCTTAATGTGCCTTAAAAATGACAATTTTAAGCTAATCACACCTAAATTTGAAACCTGCATAAGCAAGTATCAAATTTAGGTGCAATTAAGGTGTCTTAACCCACGTGTAGACACCCTACGGTGCCTTAACACTACATGACTGAGTGGGCTGGAGCCGAGCCTGTAGGGCCCCACACTGCTGCTGGGTGCCACCAAGAAGAAGACGGGCAGGTGCTGTTCTGCAAGGCACAGACGCTGGAGCTGGAACAGCAGTTCCGGCAGCAGTGGTCCCTGTTGGTGTGCAGTAAGTCGGCAGAGGGGGCAGGAGGCCTGAGGGCTCCTGTCAAAGCACAAGGGAAAGACGAGACCCCCCCCGCGCCCCCCCCCATGACTCCCTGAAGGGGAAGGGGGCAGTGCAGCAAGGGCAGGGCCTTTGCTAGCGGCTCTTCCGTGCCTCTCAGAGTATGTTTGCTAGCCAGGCAATGTAGCCCTGCAGGGGCTAGGGACACCTTGCTGCCCACCTGGGATTCCAGCACCCTTAGAAACCCATGCTGGGACTCCCATCCAGGACAGCAGGCAGGCTGGAACTGCGTCTGCTCCCAACACGGCTTTCCCTGCTCCACCCACCTCTGCATTGCCCAGCCAGCAAACCCACCTCTGCATTGCCCAGCCAGCAAACCCGCCCCAAGGGAGAGGCTCAGGAGAGCTTTTAGCAAAGGCTCTGCCCATACTCTGCTGCCCCCTTCCCCTGCAGGGAGTTGTGGGGAGGGCCTTTCCCTTGTGCTTTGGCAGGAGTCCTCGCTCCTCCTGCCCCCTCTGCCGACTTACGGCACAACTGACAGGGACCGCTGCTCCAGCTCTGGTGCCTATACCTTGTAGAACAGTACTTTCTGCATCTTCTTGGAAGCATGGGGCCCTGCAGGCTTGGCTCTGGCCCGCTAGTGTCTGATGCTGGGGGGGCAGGAACATGGGGAGGAGGTTAGGGCCGGGGCCAGGCCACCCGTATCTGGGGGGACTGGAGGCTCCCACACTCTCGGCCAGCACTAGGCTGCACTGCCCTGCTACACTGCCACAGGTTTTGGGGGCTGTCCAGGGTGCTGACCAGGGCAGGCTGTCCAGCGTGCTGCATTAAGGCGCCTTAAGGCATCCACACATAGACGCGCATCTAAATCTCCTTAATGCACCTTAGGCTAAGGCACATTAAGTTTAGGCATGTGCAAATTCACATGTAGACATGTCCAGGACTGACTTAATTTGGTACTTTCTTTTCTCCTTTTGACATGCTGTTTTGGCCAATGGGTTAGACAGTCTTCAATAATAATCATAAACTAAGTGAATTGTTTTGATTTCAGACTTCTCACAAAAAGACTTTCTTCTATTTGGAGCAGTTGATTTTAAAGCACAGACTTCATCAAAACACTCTTCGCATTAAAGAGATTCATGGTAAGCAAAGTACTTTTCTAATTCGGAAGTAAAATAACTGATCTTGGTAGCCTGTATTGGGTCAGCAAACAGCAAGTATCCTCTGTTTGCATGTACAGTGACTTTTTATGTGCATAACCTAGGTGTTCAGGATTAAATGTGTTATACTTTTATTGTAGAATATTAAGTAATGTAGTATTATTGTATAGTAGTGTACTGTGCTTTATATATTATACTGTATCTTCATATAGCTATATTTTCTTTAAGATGGCCTGGATTTTTATTATGCTTCAAAACAGCATGCCCAGAAGATGGTAGACTTTCTTCACTGTACAGTTCCTGCCAGGTATATTCTTCCATTTGTGTTCCAGCTTAAATAGTCAAATGTTTGAAAATTAATTATTCTTTGAATTTAAAAAGTATGTTAATGAAGATTTCTTAGTTCTCCATTACACTGACAAAAATATCCCACAATATCTATTCATGCACTTCTATTAATGAGCCATTCTTTGTCCATGGAGAAGGTTTTTCATGCTTTTGTTGGCTTATTTGTAATATGAAGGAATACTTTCACAACCTGTTTTAACCACTATACTTTATGCTGGTGCGATTATATTTGAATACAAAAATGAATTCATTTTAATTTTATTTTCTCTTTCATTAAAGGCTTTATTATATATGTAACATTTTACTGTTTATATTTTTTAGATCAAAATCATCCCAGCGTTTGATTTCTCATGATATCCATAGCAATGTCTACAATTACAAAAGTACTTTCTCCGTGGAGATTGTTCCAATATGCAAGGTAGCATTTCCTCTCTTTTTAGAAAAAAATTCTTCAGCAAAGTAACTCTACAAGGACTGATAATTAGTTGCCCTTATTGGTGATGGTGTTCATGATACAGCATGAACCTAGTGTGTAATACATCTGTCTAACTTCATCAGAAGCAAAGGCAATCCAGTTCTTAAAGTTTATATGGCAAATTTTATTTTGTGATTTAAAAGGTGAAGGCAGTTCTTAGGAGTTCTGAAAGCTCTTGCCTTGAGAATTTCCCTCTTCCCTTTTCAAAGATCTTCTGAATTGGGGTTTTGGTGTCATCCCTAAAGCAGATTTTACATGTCAGCTTCAAGTTCATCTTTGGAATGTAAGCCTGGAAGCAGCCTCCTTGAGCCACTGAGTCCAGTCCCTTGCATTAACAGATGATTGCTTACTTATTAGGTGTCCAAGCACTACTGATTTCCTATTAATACTTTCTACATTGCCACTTCTTTTGTTAATCCCAGAAAAAGTAATTACTGAACACCAGATCAGACTGAAACAGAGAAGAATGTGTATTCTCATAGTTGGGAAATATCCAGAACATTCTGATAGTGGAAGACCAGTGCAAGATGCATGATACAGACAAGGGATGTGATTGTTCTCTGTTCAGTTGGAGGTTGGAAAACAGCCTTGTCCTGTAATTATAAAACTAATTTCCAACAGCAAACCTCAAAGGCCTGATTCAGGAATCCAAACTAAGCTGTTGATCACCACAAAGTGTCTCAGGGAGTGGTGGTTTTTCCCCATGCTGGTTGGGTATATGACTTAACTGAATGGAGGTAGCAGTGGCTGTGGGTTTCAAGGTCAATTTAAACACCAGGTTTTTAAGTTTTAGGCTCAGCTACAACTAAGGAACTAAATATATGTAAAACTTTGTCTTTTGGTGTACAGGACAATGTAGTATGTTTGTCACCCAAATTAGCACAAAGCCTGGGGAACATGAGCCAGATTTGTGTGTGCATCAGAGTGACAAGTACCATTCACCTCATTGATCCCAACACTCTGCAGAGTAAGTGGATTCTCCTTTCCCTGGAAAGTTAAAGAGAATATTATAACAACAGTTCTTCCTATCGGCATTGTTCCTACTGAACATTACCTAATGCAACTTCACGTGTTTGGATTTTCAGAACTTGAACCAGCCTTCTCACTGATGTTTAAATTAATGACAGACTAAGAAATATCCTAGGCCAGTGGGGGTCAGCCTTTTTGGGAGACATCACAAATTATGCCGTGTATCTTCCCTGAGTACTGCTGCAATCCACTTTCCTTGCCCAGTCTGCTGCACTGCTTTCTACTTCCTGCCCAATCTGCCATGCCCAATGCCACATACCACACACAGAAGTTGTCTGGGCCATTTGCAGCACACATGTTATTGGGTTGGCCATCCCTGTCCTAGGCAAAATGCAGAGTTAGAATTATAAACCAGCTAAGCCAGTGCAGGTGGTGGGTAGATTTAGTTTTTCCTTTTGCTGCTTTGCTGCACTTAATTTGTCAGAGAGATTTCTTATTTCTAAAATTAATATATGATGTAGGGAACGTTAATTAACTTATGACTTAGAATAGGCACACAGCAAGAGAACTTTGCTGGCCTAGTTATGCAAGTATATGGTGGCTACAAGGCACTTCTGCTGTGGGTTCAGACACTGTTTGTGCAGTGTCTTCTGCCAGAAATCTTGTATCAGCGAGCTTGCACCTTTGTCACATCCGTGACCAGCATTGCTACTGAGAGAAGTTTGTATCATAAGCCTTGTATGTTCTCTGTTCAAAATAAATATCACAAACCATTTTGTAGTGGTCTTCACTTTGTCCTGGAAGAGTATCTGCCATTCTCCTTCACAATATTGTCTTTACTTTCAGTTGCTGACATTGATGGAAATACTTACTGGCGTCATCCTTTCAATAGCTTGTTCCACCCAAAGCAGCTGGAGGAGTTTATTGTTATGGATATCAGCAGAGTCCAAGAAAGGAAACTAGGTGCAGGTGCAGGGATGAGATCGAACAAAGTAAGTGTTTATTTGCTTTATTTAACACTTTTATACATCTCTTTTCATGCCACCTTACAAAACAAATCAGATATATTTGGAAAACTGTTAACTAGGGAAGCTCTTCTCCAAGATAGGTGTAACACTTTATTGTCATATGCAGGGATCCTGGTTTTCTGTGTTTAAAAATCACAAATTCTCTGATTAAAACGCCAAAGATTCATATTTTTCCATGATTAAAATGAAACATATATACACACACACACATCAGTTGAACACGATGTTTTATTGATATATTTACCTTTTTAAAGCAATTTGGAAGCCTACCAGTGCCTCAATCACTATATAAAATACATTCTGAATATCTGTTAATTTTGACATTTGATATAGGGTTTTTTATCATGGAAAATCAGAGCTCTTCTTGCCCCCTTCACTCAGCTGGATTCAGGTCCAGCTCTGGCTGTCCCCTCCCTCACTCCCCCTCCACTGCTCTGTGATACTGAGCAGCCCTGATAGGCCAGTGCCCTGCCAATACCATTGCCCCTCACTCCCCTCCCACAGCCCTGCCAGAGAGGGCCCCCAGCTGCAAGGGCTACAGGGCCAAGGACTGCAGCCCCCTGCCACCTCCACCTGCCAGCAGCACCTGAGCCCCAGCTGCCACCAGTGGAAGGCAATGGTTGCTACGGTGGAGCGCAGGCCTGGCTGTGCCTCCCCCATGGGTGCCATAGCAGAGTGGAGCCCATGCAGGGGAGAGTGGATATGGGTTGCCCGCTGCAGGCTTGGGCTCCCTGCCCTGCTGCCCTCACCCCAGAGCCTCCACAGCCCAGCAGGCAGGACCCAGCAGGGCCAGGCAGGGAATCTCATTGCCATCACTGGGAGCTCCATGCTGCCATGGCAAGGTGCCTTCTGCCTGCCCAGAAGCAGCAAGGGGCACAACTCTGTGCTGCTGCCCCCACTGCTGCCAGGCAGGCAAGGGGCGCCTTACCATGGCGGTGTGGGGCTTGAGGCGGTGGCATCAAACTTCCCTGCCACGCTCCCCACCCAGGCCTTGTCATGGTGCATTCCAGCCCCAAGCCCACCCTGCTGAGCTGGGCAGCACAGCTTGGCCCTGCCCAACTCCCTCCCTCACTATGGGGGCCTCAATTGCCCTCACCAGACTTACCTGCAGGGAGCTGCTCTCTGGGCTGCCTGGCAGCCATGTACATATATCTGCACACGTGCACATGGCGGCCCCTGCCTGATCGCCCTCCTCCCGCTCTACCCAACCCCTTGTAGGCTGGAGCTCTGGCAGCCTACAAGGCGAAACCCACCATTTCCCTGTTTTTCTCCTTTAAAGGAGAAAATCCGGGTTTTACTGTATTTTTCCCTGATGAACAGAAAACCCGAATCCCTGGTTCATAAAGTAGGAGTGATAGAGCTGTGTGTGTGTGTGTGTGTGTGTGTGTGTGTGTGTGTGTGTGTGTGTGTGTGTGTGTGTGTGTGTGTGTAGATATAGATATAGGCACACACACACACACATCATGTTAATTCTCCTTTCAAAAATCAGGTTGCTTCAGCTTGAAACTAAAATTGATTCCATACATTAATCTTCTTACTATTAGGTTACAAATTTTTTTGCTTGCAGTTAATTGTAGGACCCTCCCACAGGCTTGTAGAGTGCATCTTTCACACCATATAACTTTTATTTAAAGATAAATCAGTTGTACAAGTTGGATAGGACTTTTGATTTAGCTCAGGGTCTATTTTTAAGCCCAGGCTTAAGTATTTTGGCAAAAGGGTCCACCTCATTCCTCCTAGGCCAAAACATCAGTGAACTTCTGAATAGTAGTCTGTAGTGTTGTTTTATTGCATATCCCCTTGCAGAAATTGGTCATCTTAGGTAACTGGTTAGGTATGGCTTGGTTTTGTTGTTTTGGGGTTTTTTTTATGCAGCATCTCATTTGTAGAGTAGTATGTAACCACTCCTAAACTCTTGTCCTTCAGAAAAAGATTTGCTGCTCAGAGGCAATAATACGTTGTTACTAAATCATGTTGTTTGATCTAAAAACCTAAAAAAAAAAAGTGAAGTAAAAAAAAAATCCTTTATAATCTCATTTATGTGAAACATATCTGTTGTGTCCTTTTTTTTTTCTTCTTGCTCTTAAAAAGGCAAGCATTTACATGGAAGTAGCATATACTAGACCAGTGATGGCCAGCCTTTGGCAAGCGTGCCACAAGTGGTTCAGGCAGCCTGTGTGTGGCATGCAACACCTTGTGGAGGGATCAGGCATCATGGTGGCAGATAGGGCAGGAAGTGGAAAGCAGAGCAGCAGGTCAGACAGGGGGGGGGATCAGAGGGCAATAAAAAGGCAAGCATTTACATGGAAGTAGCATATACTAGACCAGTGATGGCCAGCCTTTGGCAAGCGTGCCACAAGTGGTTCAGGCAGCCTGTGTGTGGCATGCAACACCTTGTGGAGGGATCAGGCATCATGGTGGCAGATAGGGCAGGAAGTGGAAAGCAGAGCAGCAGGTCAGACAGGGGTGGGGATCAGAGGGCATTGTGCTTAATTTGTAGCACACCAGCCAAAGAACTTGGCCTCCAGTGTTGATCCCTGCAGATAAGCAAGGATATAGTCAGTGATGTAATATGACATGGTACCAAAGCAGTGCAGATATTTTAATTTTGCAACTACTACTATTACATGTTGTTATGAAAATGTTTTGTTTTCTCTTTCTCTAGCATACTCTGGCTGAAGCCTGGGTAAAGAAGACATCAGAGATGAATACAGATCATCAGTATTTCTGCCGCACCCATTTGGGACACCTTCTAAATCCTGGGGACCTAGTTTTGGGGTTTGTGTTGCTATATTCTGTTTGTATTTGGTGCTTGGTTAAAAGTGTCAGAATCTGTAGGTTGTCCTGGAACAGAGAATTAGGCTATATGTTTTTAAGGTATCCTTCTTAACTCTGAAAATCCCATGTTGTAAGAATGATACTTGATTAAGGCCTGCTTATTGTATTTAGTCATCATTGCAGCTAGTTTTGTAGCTTTTCCATTTTATAGTGATTAGAGCGATCACTGCTGTGAGAGCTGTCACTGCTGTGGGAAGCTGATGTGGATTCTGTTCCATCTCAAGCTTCACCAGCAGAATTGTCAAGTGTTCTAATTTCAAAAGCCAGTGTCAGAAGGAATGAGGGTAGAGACATGACCAGCAAGATGTTTTGGATCACCTTGGTAACAGAGTCTCAGTACCATAAAGGGACAAAGCAAGGTGGGAGGGGGGTCAGTCACTGTTAGCAAAAAGTCTCTTTAAGGTGCATTTATGACAAACTACAGATCAGGCACAGGTGGAGTGGAATTGCAGAGGTTGAGGGGATTTATTAGAAGCTCTAGATGTTGGTATTTTCAAACTTCTAGTAGGAAAGAAGGTAGCAGTGAAGTAGGAAAAGGATATGCAGCTTGATAACTTGGATTACCAGCTCTGTCCCAGGTAGTAGATAGGTAATGTAACTTACTCTTTAAAGTGTTAACTGTAGACTTTGTTATAAAGGATGCCTATAAACATGGATTTTCTCCCTCTGTACTGCTGCCTCCTGGAAATGTGTATCTTTTAAATGAACTATAAAACTAGTTATATCCTGCTGCTGCTTTATGTTAGCATAAAACATGAAAGGGTGAAATTTCAAGCTATTAAGTGTATTGTAAACCTCTTCCTTTTTAGATTCGACTTGGCCAATTGTAACCTAAATGATGAATTTGCAAATAAAATGAATCCACATGATGTCCCAGATGTGGTAAGGTTTTGGAGTCTCCTTTCCTTAGAAAAGCTTTTGTATTTTGCACTGTTAAAAGAACATGATGATGTATACCAGGGCTGTCCTGGGTCAACACACTGTTCTGGCTACACATCACATGCCACAGACCTGCCCTACCCCACCCAGTGGGCACCCCTTGCCATGTTGTGTGGGCCTTCCTGCTGTGCTGCACCAAGCAGGGGCCATGGGTTCCCTGGACCCTCGGGACAGGGAGAGAAAGCTATGGAAGGCCAGGGACCCCAGTGGCAATAGCAGCAGGATCAATGGGGTGAGCAGCTCCCAGACCAGGAACCCAGGGATCATGAGTTAATCCTTTGTGGGCTATATGCAGATCACAAGCTGAACAGTCTTAGTGTATACAATGAATACTTCTTCTTGGCCTAAAAATCATAGTGTTAGGGCCAGGATACTTCAGACTGCAGTTCTGAAAATTATTTTCCTTGATGATTTAACTGGAACTGCTGTCAACTCCTTGCTCAAAATTATGTGCTACAGTTGTGGTGATACCTGTACTGAATAGTGAGGGTGAAATACAATACTTGGGAAGCCTAACAGGCAGTTTTAAATGCCCAACTGACTGTCACGCCTTTTATTCACATCAGTGGTACAGCTTTCTCATTCTGCCCTCTTGTGTTCTGTTGTATGATTGCACAGTAAGTTCAGTTATTTTATACACACACAAGTCTGAACTCTTTGGTATTGTATTTTAAGAAAACATTATCAATGTTTTATTGAAAATGTATTTTTGGAATATTTTCTATTTTCCAATGAAGGTATTAATAAAGAAGAGTTATGACCGTAGTAAACGCCAGCATCGCAGGAACTGGAAACTGAAAGAGCTGGAAAGGGATAGAGAAGGCATGGATACAGATGATGAAAGGTTTGCTAAATGCTCTAGTTTTCTCTCTCTCTCCAAAATGTAGCAGAGTGCAAGTAAGGAGAGGATCTGCAGGGAGATCTAGTAAGCAGAGTCCCTGCTTTCTTCTTAGTTCCACACAGACAAGTACAATTGGTCCTGTATTACACATTGTATGTGCTGCACTCAATCAAAGATGGCTTTGGCAAGTCTGTTGCATGCTAGGGGGCAATGTGTCTTTGCAGGGGTTGCTTCAAAGGCACAGTTAAGTTCTAAGCTTAAAATAAAATTTCATCTTGTCCTGACTAATGAAATAGCAGGGGAGATTATCCCAAATATTAATCAGCAAGAATTGTCTGGTTCTCATATACTATTCCTAAACTATTATGACATTCAGAACTCCACAACAAAAGTATTGACTCCAAGGGCAGAGAAAAAGAGAGAATTGGAGTCACAGGCAGCATGTCTTTAGGATGACTTACTGTGTAGTGAATTGGCTGAAGTGACAAATCAACAAGGATGGGAAAGTATTTGTCATAGTTATGCTAAGTGCTAAATTCAACTCAAAACAGCTGTAAAATTCCAAATTATCCTTAACTGACTGGAAAAATTAAGGCAGTGCATCACAGTTAAATTGGAACATAGAAACTAAATAAAAACCCTGAGAAAATAAGTCATGTAAAATAAAAATAAGCTAAAAAGAGAATGAGTTAGAAATCGGATTGTTTAGGAATATATGTCAAAGGGACCAAACCATAGTTTCTTGGTGTCTGTGCTCCCTTCCTACACTGCTGGCTTTGAGGATAGCTAAGAATGAGAAATGCAGCACAGCTAGGTTCTTAGGTTCTCTGCAAGTATACTCAAGATATAAAATGGATTCTTTAAATTTATGGAGGATAGACCTAGATCCAGTAAGGGTTGCCTGCCCTTTTTTTGCCTAATCCTAAAAAATTGACTCTGTCCTGGCTTTCTGTGCATTTAGTTGGGGGTACAAGATTTTAGGAGACAGAACTGCCTTTTTCTCACCAATTCCCATTGAACTTGGTAGAAATAGGCAGTAATTCCTTAGATCTCTAATTCTTACCTAGCTGAAGCGATAACGGAAATAAACCTAGTACAAAATAAAATCTGATCACCTGTTAACTTGTGAAGTTTTCTGTATGTTTTCCTCTTCCATAGGGATTTTACTTCCAGTAGGCACAGAGAATTTCACTTAAGTAAGGCCTGTAAGGTCAGCCTTAAGTATTTGTAGTTATTTGACATGACCCCATTTTATTTTCCCTGAGGCAGCTAGCCTACCGGACTCAGAGTCTGCATACTTCTGAGGAAAAGACAACAGATTTAATGTTTTCATTTCTGAGGCTGTTCTTCTTTTTATAGACAGTACCAGGACTTCCTTGAAGATCTTGAAGAAGATGAAGCAATTCGAAGGAATGTCAATATTTATAAAAGTAAGGCTTCCTGTGGCAGTTCAGCTCTGAATAATAACATGGCTTCAGGTGTTTTTTAATTTCAGGGTATTCAGACCCCTGCGAGTTTTTCAATCTAACATGATACACACTTAGAGGACTTCATGTTATTTAAGATCATGATGTCTCTAGATATTTAAAAGCCTTTGATTATTGTGTCTGTGTATGTTTTCTGTTTGAAATGCTGGGGAGAGATATGAAGGCTTTGTTCTGATTCAAGAAGGGATTTGCTCTGTTAGCAGCAGCCTGATGTATGAGTGACAGTTTGCTATTGATAAGCTTTAAAGAATGTCATTTCTTGGAGTTTTTATGTCCCTGTCTGGCTTTTCTATTCTCTCAGGTACACACATTCCGGTGGAGAGTGACACAGATGATGATGGTGCTCCACGGATCAGTCTGGCTGAGATGCTAGAGGATCTCCATATCTTCCAGGATGCAACTGGTGGGGAAGGTGCTGATATGATGACATAATAAGAACGTGTATTCATAAAAGCAGTAAAGTTCCCTCCCTTGAGGGAAGAAATATCCAGTATTTAAATAAATGCTATGAACTGCAAAGCTAACTATAAGCATGTATATGATCTCATGAATGGGCAGTTATACACATATATCTTGCTGTATCCTAAATCAGCTTATTTTATGGATATGATAGTCAGAATCGTCCTGGGGATCAGCATTCCTTAGTGGTAAACTGCTGATGTAGGCATCACAACGTTAAACGAGGATATGCTTTGAAAGTGTCGCTCACCACTCATGTAACTTCTGTAGTGTGGAAACGAAGTGACAAACTGAAGAAAGGATTGTCTTGTGGTTAAGGAAAAGAACTAGGAATGGAAAGATCAAGGTTCTGTTGCTGGTTGTTAGACTTCCTGTCTCGCTTAATCTTTTTCTGCCACCACTCTTAAGTTTCCTTACCTGTAAAATAGGAATATTATCCTACTTCACAGGAGAGTTGTTGTCAGGGTATTTTTTTTTAATCCTTTCTAGACCTTCAAGTAGAATATACTAAATACATCTGTATTACATATTTTTAAACTTATGTGGGTGGCTTCCCTTCCTTTAGCAAGGCTAGGGATAAATGGCAATTGCATAAAAATCTCCTAAATGAATATATTAACTCACCCGCCTGAGTTATTAAATAAATGCTTGAACTGCTAAGCTAACTAAAGCATGTATTAACTCAGCTGCCATTAACTCTGTCCTCTCTATATCAAAGATTGGGCATCCCTGCTCAGTATAATACATACTGCCCAATTCGGAATGTCAGTGTAAGTGAGTGAGAGCAATATGAATAAACTACCTAGATCCTTATACTTAAAACTGGTAGATATATGAAAGCCTTTAACATCCAGTAAATGTATGACTTCATTGGATGGGAAATGAGGATAAGAATGTATAAAATGCAAAACCTGTAATGCCACTTTCCCTTTAACTTTTCTGAAAAGGATGATTCAGAGTAACTGGGAAGGGCCATAAGGAGACATCCACTCAGAACATTTGAAAGAAAAGGTCAAAAGTTAGAAAAAGCTGCATTGGGCTTCAAGATAAGGTGAAGATATACCCAGTGGCACTGGTATTAAATATCGTTGGTGCCTAGGGGCTTGAACCAATTCCAGTTGAAGTCAATGGCAGTCTCCAAAAGTGGGATTAGGCTTGATTCTTTTCTGAATTATTCTTCATAATGTTGTAATTTGTTTAAGTTCATCTTAGTATTGTCCATTTGTACTCAAAAAAAGATGATTTGTCAGGCATTTTTATGTAGCTAAGCTTGGGGGGTTGCATCTTGGCACTGAACAAGAGTGGCACACAAAGGGATCACTCTATTATTTTGCATCTGTGTTACACTGACCTGATGATCTACATCCTCTTTCAGGAGGTTTGTCAATATTTTACACCATATGGAATAGCATTTAAAAAACCAAAATCCATAAGGCTGCTTTGATCCCCAGTCGCACTTCATGCCATAAGGTCCAAAATAGAAAATTCATTAAAACAATGTTTTTACAGTTTTTTTTCATGAGAGTGCAGCTATGTAGCCAAAGTGAATTATCACTGTCATAAATATGGATTTTATTATACAGACTTTACTATTGTGGGGAAAATGATGTAGGAACTTGGCCATAAAAATATGCTGGAGATGCAACTTTGTATGGACATTTGTTTCTGGAATTCTAACTTAAAATTTGAATTAATTTGTTCTCTACCTGACTGAGGTATATTTTGGGCTGTACTGTGCTCACATGTTTAAAGGAGTTAACATGCCCAATCCTTCCTTAAATAGATGACAAATGCAAGAGGTGAGTTGTGTAATGACAGCTACAGTGTTTGTAATAAACCTAGTTCTCCTATGACTAACTCTCTCTTCTGTCGGCTGACATGTTTCTTCATGTTTGCTTTTTGTCAGCAGTGTCAGCTGGATTGTTCTCTTGTCTCTCGCACACTGGAGAGAAAACATTTAAGAAATCACCTTTCAGCTAACCTGTCTCCCAAAAAAACAACGGTCTCTGACTAACGCTGTCCTCTTTCCTTTTCTGTGATTAGGTTCATACCATTTCTTATCATTCTAATTATGATATTAATTATCTAAAGGCAAAGAAAGCACCAGTTCTACCAAAGGATAAAAATAATAAATCCCTGATTCTTGCAGGCTGCTAATGTATTTGTCTGCCAGCTGATAACTGTAACAGGAACAGCTGGCTGGCCAAGCAGGCAGGCAGTGTGCTGTGTGCACTTGAAGTTAAGCAAAGTTCTAATTTTAGGCCCCACTAGTCTTGTCAAGCATCCCTTTTAGATTCTAAAAGAAGCTAATCATGGCTCAGCAGATATTTCATTTGCTGTTTCTGTACCTGTGTTCTTGAAGACACAGTGATTAGCGAGCTTGATAGCAAATACTTAGTTTGCAATGAATAATGTGCTGCCGCTTTCTGTCTACACTTCTGCCGCCTTGTAAGCTACATTAAGTGATACTAGCACAGCGTGTGGTCTGTGTTCACACAATGCAAGCACTACATAATGGTATGTATAGTCAATACATCTTAAATAAAATGAGTCTTCCCTGGAAAACTCCTTATATGTTAGAAGATCTTGAAGTGAAACAAAAGAAAAAACGCTATTTTAAAAGCTTTTTTTTGGTTCTTGACTGATTCAATATGGACAGATAGAGATTCTGTTGCAGCAAAGGGGACCCTTTTCTGTAACACAATCTTTCAAAACAACCAAAGTTTTGTTTCTAATTTATCAGAAATGGCTTAAATAATTAGTCTCCACCACAACAGGTTCTTCATAGCAGTTGCATTTTACTACAGTTTCCTAACAAATTTCTAGTTGCCCAGTCATGGAAGGAGAAGCTTACGTTTACATTTCTTCATTGCTAAATACTTATTTTGGATTGACTAATTTCTTGGCAGAGGTAAGATTTGTTAGTAAATAACAGAGATTAACCTAAAAAAATGCTGAGTTTTGGGAACATCTTTTTTTTTTTTTTTTAATTTTGAAGTAGTCATAGGAAGCTGCTAAGGAAAAATCCCACCATTTGGTGATGCTGTGTTTCCTTTAGGTTCTGTATCTGCTTAAATTTTTGAGGAAGACTATTTTTCTGGAGAGAGAATTATAAAAGGTGCCATACTGTAGTAATCCATCTAGTAGCCCAGTAGTCCATCTAGTGTAGTATCCTGTCTCTGGTGACAAAACTAAATGCATTAAAGGGAGAGCATTGAATTAGGTATATCTAGAGTGATCCCCTGTTCATTTATCATCCCTGACATTCACCGTCATTGGTTTTGAGATGCCAAAGGATACATCCCTGACTTTTCTATTTAATAGCTATTAATCTATTGTCCATGGATTTATTTAGCCTGTTTTTGAACTTGGCTACACTATCTGTCTTTACAGATACAGCCACAGTGTCTTTATAGAGACCACACTATCTCCTGTAGTAATGAATCCATAAGTTGATGACTACACACTACATAACAATAGTTTCCCTTGTTAGTTTGAGGTTTCTGCTTATTTCATTGAGTGCCCCCCTAATTCTAGCATTCTGGGACTTGTTAAGTAACAGCTCCCTATTCACTTTGTCCACATAGTTTATGAACAGACCTCTGTTGTCTGTTGTATTCCCTCTTCCCCCACCAGCCTTCTCCTTTCCAGACTAAAGAGTCCTAATCTTTTGAGTCTCTTGCCCTTCTCTGTACCTTTTCTAATTCTACTATCTCCTTTTAGAGATTCAGAGATCAGAACTGCACACACTATTCAAGATGTGGGTACATCTAGGATTTGTAGTGGCATGATATTTCCATTCTGTTTTCAATTCTTTTATCAACAGTGCTGCTGGACACAGCTACTGTTTTTTAGAGAACTATCTATAGTGACTCCAAGGTCTGTTTCCTGAGTTGCAACAGCTAGTTCAGAACCCAGAATTACACATGTATAATTAACCCAGAATTACTCATGTATAATTAACCCAGAATTACACATGTATAATTGAGGTTATTTTTCCCTGTGTGCCTAACCTTACACTTGTTGACATGGAAGTTAATCTGCCATTTTTTTGCCCGCTTGTTTAGCTATGTGAGCTCTTTCTTGAGCCCTCTCCATCAGCTTGGGATTTGACTACTCAGAATAATAAGGTAGGAATGGACATTGGTGTCAGTTGGACAAGTTTATTACAAAGTATTTTTAATATCCATCTTAAAGCTACCATTTATCAAAAAGCAACTTTTATGTAGAAATTCATGGAGCAGCTGTTGTCTACTGGTCAAAGCATGGGATTTGAAACTAGAATTCCTAGGTTGTCTCTCTCTCCGTGGAGTGAAATTTAGGATGTCTTGTAAGCCCAGATGCTGCAAGTGTATGTAAGCAGACTCATTGAATGCAATGGGATTGGGTTCTGGTCCTTGATTACGGCTGTTTATGAATTTTACGTGAAATGGTCATTGGATGAAATAGAGAAATAGTCGTGGTACTTGCAATTTCTCCATCCTAGCTGGGTGACCTAATCATTACACTGGAGTCATGTGTCTCTCTTGCTGGCCCTAGGAATCTCAAATATTTTGTTGCATAACAACGTGACTGGTGGGGAGCAGGCGGTAAAGAGTGTCCCTGTCCTGACTACCCATGTTAGAGCACTATCCTGAAAGGTAAGAGAACCCTTTAGAACCTGTTGTGGTGGAGACTAATTATTTAAGCCATTTCTGATAAATGACAGATTAACTTCCATGTCAACAAGTACAAGGTTCGGTGCACAGGGAAAAATAACCTCAATTATACATATGTATTGTGGGTTAATTATACATATGTAATTGAAGAGGGTATTGAAGACGGTATTGAACTTCAGGTCTCCCATTCCTAGGCAAACTCACTAGCCACTAGGTTAAACAGGACACACCACCCCAAAGACTAGCTCTTATTTTGATCCTTGTTTGAAAAGAAGACACAATTTTGTGTTATGAGAAGCCTAACCTGTATGTGCATGTTCTGCTTTGAGCATGCCTACTGCATCAGGTCCCTCAGGGGACTTTGGCGAAGGAATTCTGATGTGGATTGGGGGCCAGATTGTTCAGAATGGGGCTGTTTTGGGCATAGACAGAGGTGCAGCTACAGCAGCTGGGAACTTAAGTTGCACAAGGAGACACCTCTTAGGGTTAGGGGTGGAGCAGTAGGGGGTTGGATGCAGCTGTGTACTTAAACACCTAAATTGTTATTGAATCCAGCCCTTTTATTATCAGGAAGATCAACCTGACTGCCTCACCTGATGTGTTCCACACCCATCCCACCTACAGCTGAAGCTTTGAGCATAGTCATGTGTTATTTAAAACCATGTGTATATAATATAAGTAGGAGGCAAAACTGGCTGGCATAAGTAAAAAAAAAAACCATAAGAATTATCCTGCTTAATTCAACCCTAATCCCTGTGGAGGGATTTTTCTTTTTTTGCAGTAATCTCTGGAGCTGTTATCTGAAGTGCAAAATGCTAACTCATCAAGCTGTTCTTATTTTCAGTACTTCATTTAATTTCCCTTTTCACCCAAGAGAGAACTGCAGGAGTTGGGAGATTGTGTACAGGCATTGCCATGAATTTATAAAAATCTCTGTAAACCCTGACAGTTTAGACCATAAAACTGTCAGGCCTCTACCACCAGCCTCTGTATATTCTTGTTTCACTGAACACTGCTTGAATGCTACAACTAGGTTGCTGGAGCCACGCAGGATAAAGTAGGATTCTTTGGGTAAGCACCAAGTTTCTTTTAATCTTGGGATGAAATTCGCCCTTGTGCAAAAGGGTAGCACAAGGTAAGGTTCTACCTGAGAGCAAGCGACTTGAACACTAGATAGTCTGTTGTGTTGGCAGTATCTTGAGTATGGATGTTTTCAGAATTATAGCTCTCACAATCTACCCATAACCTGAAGTATGAAATTAGATTTTTTTTCAATTGTCTTTTTTTGGCACTAATCCAACCTAAAAGGGAAAGGAAGGATTCAATTAAACATTGATCTCAGAGAGCACATCTCCCATAGCTTCTGTATTGTCAGCATTTCAAATATACAACTCATTTTGGGGTCTGAAAGCCATTAAAATTTTCTGTGCTCTGAACAATAGCAAATGACATCTTAAAGGTTTTTGGTTACAGTAGCTAGTGAGGGAGGAGACTTCTGGTGGTGCAAATTAAATCTATGACACAAAAGCCCCCAGGTTTTAGGAAAGAAATGAAAAGGAATTAATAGATACGGTTTAGGAAAGCTGATAGTTGAAATTTTTATTACCCATAAACGTTTAATGTAGTGTGTTCTTACAGGTGGGCAGTGAGTAATCCAAGGATTTGTCTTCAGATGCTGAGATGAGTCACATTTCTCATTTTAAAGCATTTGGGGGGCAGGGATTTAATTTTGAGAGAAAATAACAGCTATCTCGGCAGGATGGCTCCAAAGGAGAGCAATGTGTGCTGTAGAATATTGCACAATTCCATCCGTCAACAGGCAGCACTTCAGGGAGTCTGGAGTGAGTGGGGGAACTGGCTTGACCTCCACATCTGCCTCTCTCCAGCCTAGTAATTTATTCTGCCCCAACCTCAAGTCCTCTCAATTGTTCTGATCCCCTCCCATTAATTCTGCACCCCAAATCTGCCTCTCCCCTAGTTATTTCTGATATAGAGTCGGCCCCCTCTGTCCCTTTTGCAGCTTTTGTAGGCATTTTCACCCCTGGGCTCAGTGCTCTAGGGAAAATGAATGGCAGGAATGAAGGCAGACTAACCCATTTCTTGCAGGATGGGTGGGAAGCCAGGAGCCTAGCTAGTTTGGCAGCAGGCTTGGCCCTTTCTCCCAGGAAAGGAGGGGATTCCATCTATCCATGAAC